TCAAAAAAGAGAAAAAAAAGAAGAAAACAGGAGAGCAGGGTATGCAAGTATTTAGGTGCATATAGCATATATGTACGTATAAAAATTGATCCAATAAAGGTGAAATCTAAATATTGAAAAAGAACTATATAAGATATTAAATGTGTTTTTATAAAAAGTTTTGGTAGTGTTTGAGAAAGCCAGAGTCTACATTAGGTCCTTCATTTCTGGTGTTGAAATGTGCGATCATTTTCATCTTAAATGTTTTTCGTTCATGAGAGTCTTTGAAATTCTCTTTAAGAACTTTGATCCTGAGGTTTTGGATGGAGTGACCAATCTGGGTGAAGTGATGACCAACAGGGGTACAATATCTGTTTTCCTTGTTGTTCTTGATTGAGTGTCTGTGTAGGTTCATTATATATATATATATATATATATACACACACTTTTTTTTAGTTATAAATTGTACATAACACACAGATGTTTGGCAATACTTCATTAAAATGTATTGCATCAATCAATTTATTTCTCAATACATAATTTTGAAACTAATTCTCATTTCCTTACTGACATACATGGGAAAAAGGTTAAAAAAAATCCCCTTGAAGCATTAACAAGTACGCAACTCAACGTGCAATAAGGGTAACGTGCATTATTATACTTATTAGTGTGCTCTCACCATCCACTGATTTTGACTTACTGTATGGTTCTTATTTATGTGAAAATATATTTGACTGTAGTAGAAAAACTGACCACTTGTATATCACCCATTTTAAAGATCTTCAGTAATAGACCAAAATAGCTATTAATGATCTTTAATAATAATACATATAAACCATCTTAGTGATCTTCAGTTACAATCCTGATTGTGCATAGTGGAGCTGACTGGGTTATTTTGGGGCATGCAGACTCTACATCCTTACCTTTCTTCCCATTTTAGCCTCCCTCTCTCGTATTTCATAGTCTATCAGAGTTATTTATTAAAGTCAGAATTGTCAGGAACTCAAAATGAATTCAAATTGAATTTCAAACTTAAGTTCAAATTAGCCAAATTGAAAAAAAATTAATCGAATAACTTACTGGACGGAGATGGAGGGAGAGATGGAGAGAAGATTGAAGTTTCCACGCTGTCTGCATGGGACAAACAACAGATGACACAACATCTGATGAGGGACGTAAAATATGTAAAAAAGAATTTCCAGAATTGACATTGGGCAGTCTGGAACAGAATTCTGGGCTGCCTAAGTCATGTGTGTTAGGGTTGCAACTAGCCCCAGCACAACAGGGCAGATTACTCTGTGTGTGTAGAGTTTCAAACAGTGACTCTGCACATGAAGACTCCTACCATCATGACCACTTCAAAGAGCAGAGGAGTTCATTGTGGTTTGCGTAACCCTTAAATGTTAGAATTAATACTTTTAGGGAGCTTCTTTAATTTAAAATGTTTCTGTTCAAATTCAGAAACACTACCGATGACTGTTTCTGAATCTACATCTGAATGTCTGAGAAAGAATTTTCCTTTCAGCATATGTTTCTCCATATTATGTTTCCTAGGTAATTAATAACCAACAGATTTAAATAAAATATACTTAATGAATATGTCACCCTTAAAAATAGATTTAGACGACAATTTCTCAAAATGAGCCCAGTTATGAAATGCATGGTAAGAACGCATCAGCCCTCTTAAAATTAAAATTTTACCAAGAACATTATGTCTTCAGATTTTGCCCTTGCCATTCTGTTGTAAATTATTTACTCAGATGTGCACATTATTATTAAATTCTTGGCATAAAAAAAACACACAAGATTAACATATAAAATTTTCATTAAAGTTAAGAAAAAGATGGAATTAGATCTGCCTGAGCTCAGTATGGGCACAAAGCAATAAAGTTATGGAAAATAAAAAAATTGTCTATCAATTCCCCTATAAATAGAAAATGCATATTTTGTCCCTCCCTTATCAACTTTTAAGGTTTCACCAGGTATGCATCAAAAGAGTAAATCCAAATTTCCAATGATCAAACCTATTTTATATTATTAAATGGGCAAAAATGCACTACCTACATCACTTTTCTCTATGACACAAGATACCAGTTATCCAAACTTCCCTGCAAGTAAGTCAACATAATTTTTTTTGTCGGAAACACAGACACTTAACAGAGTCTATCAGTTATCCATAGAAGATAGTCTCTTACATTTCTTTATTTATAAAAAAAATTTACCAGGAAGGATACTAAACTTTATCCAAAACTAGGTGTCCTGTACAGAAACAAATCCTGCCTAAGCCCTACAGTAAAGGAAAAGATTGTACAGCAAATGCTGATGCCAATCATTGATTATGGGGATGTAGTATATGCACCTGCACCGCAAACCCACATTAATAACCTCAATACATTGTGTAACTCGTTCTGCCGATTTGTGCTACAATGTAATTACAGGACCCACCAGTGTGACATGCTAATAGAACTAAAGTGGTTGTTGCTGGAATCCAGATGCACCCTTCATCTTTCCAGCCTTGTGTTTAAGAGCTTTTCTGGGAAGCTACCACCCTACCTGAGCAGAATGCTCTCCCTGGCTGTTCTTGCCTCCTAAAACCTCCGATCCAGTACCAACACTTTATTTAGTCTACCTCAATATAAAAAGAAAGCAGCCCGATCCTCCTTTTCCTATAGAGCGCCGCAATTATGGAACGACCTCCCGCACACTTTCAAATCTTCCCCAAGTCTAAAGTCCTTTAAGAGATCCCTCTCTACATACCTCAAAACAGAATACACGTGTCATGGTTGATTATATATTTCCTACATGTTCTAGTTAAAATTTTGTATGTGTTGTGTATTAATATTGTTTTTGTATTTTATTGTACCCTGTTGTATCAATGCAATGTTCTGTGGACCCAGGACATACTTGAAAATGAGAGAAATCTCAATGTATCTTTCCTGGTAAAATATTTTATAAATAAATAATACATTGAGATTTCTCTCATTTTCAAGTAGTTTTGGATAAAGTTTATTTGCAAGTTATTCTATGTGGAGACCAAAAGAGAGATTGGGGTCTAACAACATACCCAAGTATTTGAAAGAGTGAACTGCGGTCAGTGTGCTATTTGATTTTTTTTGATGCATAGATTTTGTAATTTGTGTAATTTAGGTACTGTTCCAAAGATCATTGTGACAGTTTTGTCAGTGTTTAGGAAGAAGTGTCTTACATACATTTAACCAAATATATTAACTACAATACAACTATTATATTGCTTAAGTTTATAATTTATCAGATTTTACTTACTGGAAATTTAAGAATGTTTGGCAACTTTGTCATCAAATGTTGAGTTACTCTATTTTATAAGATACAGGGAGGGAGACCAGGGATAACTGTGGGTAGAATTTAGTGAACAAATTCTTTTTGGCACCCAAATTCACAACTTCTTCCAGATTCCAGGCAGTCACACGAGGGAGAGCCTCAAAGTATAGCGGCACCGTGTTATTGAGGGGTAACAATTCCCATCTCCCGATATTACTTGAACTTGAAGCAGTGAGCTTTAAATAAAGTGATTTTATTAACGCTTTTAGGATATGTAGGTATACCAAAGAAAGTGAATAAAAACAAATTGGCAAAATGGCACAGTGCCCTTGGTTTCCTTAAAAAAAAAAATGTCAGATCGGTTTTCACATGTGGTGGTTCTGTAGGTGGATTCAGCCTTTCTGGAAAGAAACATGTATTTATTTGTAATAAGGCATTGATCTCCTTCTCTCAAACAATGGTGCTACCACATCATCATAACACTTTTCTAATCCATCGGTATATTAAAAAAAAAAAAAAATCAGGTTACTTACTATTGGTTTATATTTGTATTTTTAATATGTTTATGTGATACCCTGTGTTATTATGTAAATATTGTTTTGTTTCAGAATTGCACTGCTTAAAGTGGAAATCTTACAAGTGGAGGATTGGTACAACCTGAGAACTAACTAAAATTACATGTGGCTTACACTGTTATTTAAATCAAAATGTGAACCGATTTTATTATTCATTTTTTTATATTTTTTAATACAGGACAAAGAATAACATATTGATTTATGTAACCCTACCGGTTAAGAGAATCATGAGAATTGTGGAGCAAAGATATTTTCATAGTTTTGCCCATATTTTCTTACCACCCACTGTTCATACGGCATGCTTACCGCATAACGTGTCATTGAACTGTAATAGTGACATTATTTTGATAATCTGTTTTTTTTCTGCAAACACATACAGTTGAAGGGACATGCATCACTTTAAGACAAAGTCTCATTCAAAAGCTCTAGTTTCACTCTGCAGGCTGAAAAAAGCTGGTAAATATTTCTTTTTCATGTTCACCTAGGAAGGACACTGATCTAAACAATAAGTGTCTTATCCCTGGGAATGCTGAAAAAGTGCATTGACAGATTTAAGCAACTGTAATATAATTTAACCTTGCAACAAGTAATGGTGGAAAAGAGAGGGGGTCTGATCAGTGTGATCACACAGAGCAGGCTTGGCGCCAGGTTCCTCTCTCCTGTTGCTGCAAAATGATGCCCTCCTTCTGTCATGTGTTGACTGGTCTGGAACTGAGATGGGTGTGTTTGGGGGGAAGGAGGGGTCAGAGCCTGAAGAAACTCTACTACCTGAGCGGCATCACCAACAATGCAATCTGACATAGTTTATAGTAGATTTCTAAATGTACATGACATACTTTTTAAAATTCTTCTAGCTTTATTTTGGTTTTTATATTTGTTTAACAGTAGTGATGTCCCAAACGGTTTGCCGAACGGTTCGCAAACGGTTCGCCGAACGGTTCGCAAACGGTTCACCACAGTTCACCACGAACAGTTCGCCGCGGACTCCAGTCAGCAGACACATTCCAGCCAATCAGCAGCAGACCCTCCCTCCCAGACCCTCCCACCTCCTGGACAGCTCACTAAAAATGCAGCTTCAAAATGGATGCTGTCCAGGAGGTGGGAGGGTCTGGGAGGGAGGGTCTGCTGCTGATTGGCTGGAATGTGTCTGCTGACTGGAGTCCGCGGCGAACCGTTCGTGGCGAACCGTGGCGGACTGTTCGCGAACCGTTCGGCGAACCGTTCCGGACATCACTATTTAACAGTGCTTGTTTGCCAGTTTAAAAAAACAATTGTCACGTGATGCATGTCCCTTTAACACCTCAATCTAGGCACATGTCCCACAAGCAGATTATGTGATATAATTAATTCAATTTTAAGAACAGTGCGTACCATTGCTATTTTTTTATGATAGGTTCATGAACTGCACTTATCCGTTTTGAAAGGTGACAGCAAAATGCTTGTTACATATGGCTAGTCATCTAAGGAGCAAATCACTGATATATTTTCAACAGTTAATTGTTTATTGATCTCCTGTTTTCATCGGTGACATAAAAATGGATTTGTTGCCCAACTAAATCTCATTAAGCTTAATTTAATTTATATTCACAATTATTACATTTTTTAAATGAAAAAATTGTGTATGGCACATCCAGCTGGAACACTTAGTCGAAAAAGATAAAGTGTAACTTTAATCAAATGGCGTTATAGAGTAAGATGTTTTTGCTTAAATGTTTTTAAATTGACCAAATTGTTTGTTTTTTTTCTTTGCTGGGGCCAATATTTTTGTGTCAAGAAAAATATGGAAAACTATATTATTCGTCATTAGGGAAAATATGTTATGTAGACTTTTTATGTTAAAAGAGGGGCAGATGGGTACCACTTGGCTTTTAAAAAAATGGTAAATGTCAATCTTGGGCTTCCAGCAAGTGCCTTTATATCCCTCAAACTGTATGTATGGTTAGCAATTGAATTCTATTTCTTATTGGTTCTATGGGGTAAATTTGCTCAGATTTTGAGTAGCAGAAGTGAAATGTTGTAGTTCACATTGTGCTTTAATATCTGCATATTACCTTGCAAATTGTTAATTATATAATTAGTTTTCTCATGCTTGAAAAACAGAACAGTTACTTCTACCATCAATTTTGGCAATTCATTACTACCACTCAATGCTGATGAGCTGGAAAACATGACATTTTTGTTATAATCATATCTTTTTCTGCCTAGATAAATTTACGACCAATTGTTTATGAAACTGACATTCTAATTGCAGAGTTTGGCATATTTTGTATGCATTTACAAATCAAGAGAAATAATGTATCATTAAATGTAATTACTCTAGATTAGATAATATAGTCTATTTTTTAAGTAACCTCCGATCTCAACTCGTTTCAGTGTGTACTGTATTTCTTTGTTTTACTTTCATGTAATTGTTGGATTTTCTTAAATTTTTAGATAAACCAGTATAACAACTAACTATCAACAAAGACTAAGAAACTTTTCTAAGCCATAAAAGAGTGTTATGGTAATTGCACATATATAAAGATAATTTCCTATCCTGGTTAAACTGGTGGCTTAATCAAGTCATTGCTTGGTTGTTGGGTTTATTGTATGTATCTTTGTGTTAGAGGTATTGGCAGAAACGTCTCAGAGCGGGCTCAACCTTAATCTATATTGGTACTATCACTCACAAGCAATATTGAAATCACATAGGAGGCAATATATAGGCCATTATCTGCCCTTTGCTATAGATATCCATGACTAGTATACATAGTTACATAGCTGAAAAGAGACTTGCATTCTTCAAGTTCAGCCTTCCTCACATATGTTTTTCCTGTTGATCCAAAAGAAGGCAAAAAACCTAGTCTGAAGCACTTCCAATTTTGCAACAAACTAGGAAAAAATCCTTCTTGACCCCAAAATAGCAGTCAAATGTCTCCTTGGATCAAGCAGCTATTACCCCACTAATTAGAAATTATATCCCTGTATGTTATGTTTTTGCAAGTATTTATCCAATTGCTGTTTAAACATCTGTATGGACTCTGATAAAACCACCTCTTCAGGCAGAGAATTCCATATCCTTATTGCTCTTACTGTAAAAAAAAACCTTTTCTTTGCCTTAGATGAAATATCCTTTCTTCCAGCCTAAATGTGTGACCTTGTGTCCTATGTATAGCCCTGTTAATGAATAGATTTTCAGATAATGGTTTGTACTGGCACTGAATATATTTGTATAATGTTATCATATCCCCTCTGAGGCACCATTTTTACAAACTAAAGAGATTTAAATTTTTTAACCTTCCTTCATAAGGAAAATGCTCCATTCCTTGTATCAATTTTGTAGCTCGTCTCTGCACTTTTTCTAGTGCCATGATATCATTCTTCAGAACAGGTGCCCAAAATTGCACAGCATATTCAAGGTGTGGTCTTACCAGCGATTTATAAAGAGGCAAAATTATATTTTCATACTGAGAATCTATGTCCCTATTTATGCATGACAAAACCTTACTGGCCTTAACAACTGCAGATTGACATTGCATATTGCTGCCTAATTTGTTATCTATAACAATTCCCAAATCCTTCTCGTGTGTGGTTATCCCTAATACACTACCATTTAGGGTGTAAGTTGCTTGTGCATTCTTGACCCCGAAGTGCATAACTTTGCATTTCTTTACATTAAATTTCATCTGCCATTTTAGTGCCCAGTCCCCCAATCTATCCAAATCCCTCTGCAGCAAAGCAATATCCTGCTCACATTTTATTACTTTACAAAGTTTGTGTCATCTGCAAACACTGAAACATGGCTTTCAATGCCTATTTCAAGATCATTTATAAATATGTTAAACAGAAGTGGTCCCAAAACAGAACCCTGAGGGACACCACTTACCCCTTTTGTCCAGCCTGAAAATTTACCATTAATGACAACTCATTGTACTCTATCATTAAACCAATGTTCTGCCCAAGAACAAGAATAATCATCTAGACCAATTTCTTTTAGTTTGAAGACTAACCTATTGTGAGGAATCATATCAAATGCTTTGGCAAAATCCAAGTAGATCACATCCAGTGCAACACACTGATCTATACTTCTACTTATTTCCTTGTAGAATGCAATTAGGTTAGTTTGACATGACCTATGTTTCATAAAACCATGCTGATTATTGCTAATAACAGTTCTTCCCAATGAATTCCTGAATATTATCCCTTAATAGCCCTTCAAATATTTTCCCAGTCACAGAAGTTAAACTCACATGTCTATACTTTCCAGGCAAGGATTTTGAATCATTTTTAAATATAGGAACATCTGCCTTCCTCCAATCCTATGGTATAATACCTGAAACAAAATAATCTTGAAAAATTAAATACAGAGGTTCACTTATTTCCCCACTTAGCTCCTTTGTACTCATGGGGGAATACAGTCAGGCTCTGGAGCTTTATTTACATTAATTTTCTTTAACAGCTGTAGCACCTTGTCTCGAGTCATCCAATCACAAGTTGTCTGCAAGTTTTTTTGCATATCTCTTGCATATCTCTTGCCATAGCATCCTCATTAATATATACTGAAGAAAAATAGTTATTTAAAATTTCTGCCTTCTCCTGGTCTTCATTAGCTAGCAAACCAAACTCTGTTTCCAGTGTACATACACTTTCATTTTTTGTATTTTGAGAATTGATGTACTTGAAAACATTTTTGGGGTTGGTTTTGCATTCTTTGGCTATCAAGTTCTCATTTTCTAGTAGAGCCACTTTAATTACCTTTTTGCAAGCATTGTTGGCTTCCTTATATCTTATATAGGATGCCTCTGATTTGTCTAATTTAAATGCATTTTTCTTATTTTTAATCTCTTGTTTTACTTCTCTACTAAGCCACATTTGTTTCAATTTGTTTTTTTTATATTTATTAACCAATGGTACATACTTATAACGAGATCCAGACAAACATTCTTTCTAGTTGGTGATTGTACCGGTTATGACATAAAGGTGTCATCTAACACATTCAAAAACCCGATTCCCCTTGCTGAAGTACTAGTCACTCTATCCCAATTTATGTCCAGCTAATTAAAATCTCCAATAATTAACGTGTTACCCCAATTTGCAGCTTTCCCAATTTGCTCTAACAGTTGTTCTTCATCATTAATATTTACATTAGGTGGTTTATAACATATCCCAACCAATAATTGATTTCCCTTAATATGCCCCAAACAGATATCTACCCATAAAGCTTCCACATTTTCCTCATCACATTCCACATGCCTAAGATTTGACTTTAACTCATCGTTGACATACAAACATACCCCACCACCCTTTTTCTTTTTCCTAACCTTCATAAATAATGTGTACCCATTTAAGTTAACTGCCCAGTCATGTGTCTCATCCCACCATGTTTCTGTTATGCCAATTATATCATATTGTTTAGTGTATGCTATTGCCACTAGTTTTCACATTTAGTTATATAGGCTCCTTACATTAGTAAGCATACATTTAATATTATCATGAGTCATTTGTACTTTTTGTGAATTTTCATCAATATTACATACCTCCTCTGTTCTGAGCTTTCCATTCCCCCCATCCCTACCACCTTTATACTGAGCTAAAGCCCATCTCCTTTCTATCCTATCTCCATTTTCTAGATTGCTTTGACCCTCCCCCCCGACTACTAGTTTAAAATCTCCTCCAACCTTCTAGCCACCTTATCCCCCAGCACAGCAGACCCTCTTCCGTTTTGGTGCAATCTATCATGCCTATACAGGTTGTACAAAACGCAAAATCAGCCCAGTGCTCTAAAACCCCCAAACCCTCTTTCCTGCACCAAGACTTCAGCCACGCATTGATCTCTCTAATCTCCCGCTGCCTTTCTGCTGTAGCGCGCAGCACAGGTAATATTTCTGAAACTATTACCTTGGAGGTCCTTTTCTTTAGTTTATTTCCTAGTTCCCTGAACTCATTCTTTAGGACCTTCACTTTCCTCTGACTTTGTCATTGGTACCAATATGGACCATGACAGCTGGGTCATCCCCAGCCCCTCCAAATAATCTCTCCACTCTGTCGTCAACATGCTGGACCCGAGCACCCGAGAGACAACAAACTGTCCAGTTGAGACAATCAGAGTAGCAGATTACTCTATCTACTCTCTTAATAATAGAGTCCCCTACCACCACAACCTGTCTAGCCTTCCTTACCCTCTCAACCCCACCCGTACTAGAGGGGCTGTTCCAATGACTGTACAGCTACTCCTGAGCTGATGCTCCCAACATCTTCACTCAAATGGGCAAATCTGTTAGGCTGCACAAGATCAGGACTAGCTAAACCTTTCCTTCTCCCCCCCCCACTTCCTCACTCCACTGTTACCCAGCTATGTGCCTGCTCACCAACTGTCTCATCTCGTCATACTCCACTAACTGCACCCACTAAACTCTGCTCAGTGAGCAGCAGACTTCTCTCAAGATTGTCAATCTCCCTCAATGTTGCAATTTGCCTCTCCAGATCTCCAAAGCCACTCGCTCACACCCACCACAGAGGTATGGACCCTTTACAGATTCATCCAGGCATGCATACATGCAGCAGGATTTGCACTGAGTAAAACTCTCAATCTTGCTAGCACTCATCCCCAGTTATCAAAACCACAAGTGTGCAAAACAATATTTACCCTAGGTTTAAACTCCTGTTGTTTTAACTCCTTAAAAGAGATTACTTAAAATAGCCTACTTTCAAGCAAACTCCAGTGAGCAATCTCTGTGAGTCAGTAGAGGGTTTATATTGGCAATACAAATCCCACACCGGTGGAAATTAAGGGACACTCCCCCTAAATAGCTCAGCAGCAGCACCTACAAGGAAGAGAATATAAACAGCAAGAGAAAAAAAAGAGGGAAAACGTTTTAAATAAAAAACAGCAAGGAGAAAATATAGATAAGAAAAATGATAAAGTTTGAAAAAAACAGCAAGGATAAAAATATAAATTAAAAATGGGACAACGTGTTAAATAAAAACAGCAAAGAGAAAAATATAAATAATTAAAAAATGCCTTCACCTATTTTTGATCTTTGACCTCTCAACAAACTTTCACCCTTTTAATATGTTGTTGATAGACTGTGTCCTACTTGTATGTGGTATTTCTACATGGTTATTCAAATTTCAAGGTTCAGTCATGATATAACACAGGGTCAGCCTTGGAGTACAAAACAACCTAATGTGTATTATTTATTTATTTCTAAAATATTTTACCAGGAAAGATACATTGAGATTTCTCTACTTTTCAAGTATGTCCTCGGTCCACAAAACATTGCATTGATACATTATGGTACAATAAAATACAAAAACAATATTTATACACAATATATACAAAGTTTACTATAGAACAGGCAGGAAGTATATAATCAACCATGACATGTGCATTCTGTTTTCAGGTATGTAGAGAGGGATATTTTAAAGGACTTTAGGCTTGGCGAAGATTTTAAAGTGTGCGGGAGGTCGTTCCACAATTGCGGCGCTCGGTAGGAGAAGGAGGATCAGGCTGCTTTCTTTTTGTATTGAGGAAGACTAAATAAAGTGCTGGTACTGGATCGGAGGTTATAGGAGGTGGGAACAGCCGGGGAGAGCATTCTGCTCAGGTAGGGTGGAAGTTCCCAGAAAAGCTCTTAAACACAAGGCTGGAAAGATGAAGGGTGCATCTGGATTCCAGCGATAGCCAGTTTAGTTCTTTTAGCATGTCACACTGGTGGGTCTTGTAATTACATTGTAGCACAAATCGGCAGAATGAGTTATACAATGTATTGAGTTTAGTATTGTGGGATTGCGGTGCAGGTGCATATACTGCATCCCCATAATCAATGATTGGC